CAGCAATGATTAAAAAATACTAAAAAGCAAAGTATTTTTTAAACACTTTTAATCAGTCAAAGAAAATTGATTTTCAAGCTCAGCATTTGTAAGCTGAGGCAACCATTTAATGTAGCAGGGAAGAGATTTAAACAGATAAAATGATTACAAAAATGTAAGAGTGATATTACACATGGGAACAAAATAGTCTGCAAGGGCTGTATTAGAACACTGAATATGACAGAAGTCTACAAGTGTGCATGGTTTGCAGTTTGAAAGCACAAGCCCTTTTCAGGAATGGTCCTTCAGAGGCCCACATGGCATTCCTCAAAAATCACCCTCTTCCAGAGACAGCTCTTGTTTCAGTCAATGGACTTTACGTTTCTGACCTGGCTAAACAGATCATGGTATGGCCTGCATATGCCTTCTCAGCCACTAAAATTCTGTAAATTATTTTTAATATAGGAGCACTGAAGGGCTGCATTAAAAAAACAAACAAACAAACACCAAACAACAACAGACTCCAGCCCTTGTGCTTCAACGGACAAGGCAAGTGGAGAAACAATAAGCCACATGAGCCACCAGGCAGGACTAAGACCTAACTGTCTTAGACCCTATTGCCTTCCCCTTGAACTGTGTAGCCTCCTGCGTGCTAGAAGACATTTCTGTGAACTTAATGCTAGAACTACTGTTAAAAGAAACACAACAGAACTTGTCAAAAAAATACGTACAGAGGAGAGGAAAAAAAAGAAAATCCTCCACAAGTTGCATCTGGCTCTAGTAAATAGGACTTTTTTTTTCAGGCCTTGGGCTCAGACAAATGACCAATCTACTGCGGGTGAAGCTGGGCCCTTTCCACTGAGGCTTTTACCTGGTGTGTGCCAGGGCAGGAGTCTGCACATGCCAGGCGCGCACCACCAGCACGCAGGCGCCTGTGCTGCCCATTTACTACCTGATGCAGCAGTTGCACTCACCTACCCTGACAAGTCACGCTTCAGGACCAGGACAGAAGCCATTGCACCCTTCAAGGAACATCTCGGAGAGGCAAGAACCTGTTTCTAAAGGAAGCAGTGCTTATCTCATGCATGCCACAGGTGTGATGTCATCCCCTCTGGCAAAGGAATGACAATGTCTACAGCCTCCACTGTGCAAAAATGCAGGAACTAAAGTTAACGTGTCTCAGGCTTTGTTAAAATATGGTGATAATTAAGAAATATAATTACCACTACAAAGTTAATTCCTCTTTGAGTTCTTACAAACAAGTTTTTAATTTACACTGCGAATTTACATTTCAGATTTCAAGTCAGCCACAAATGGCTGCAAGCTTGGCAGGGGTCTCAAGGCGGTGGCTGGCATGTTCTGCCAGGCTTGGGAGCAGGAGCACTGTGGCGTCCCAGCAATGTCACAGGCCAACAGTCGCTGGCAAACCCCGGATGCACACAGGTGAACCGATGGGATTGGTTTTAAATGTCTCATCTGTTGTACAAGTGTGAAAATAATAGCTGTGCCAGACAAACTTCTGCTTTTTATTAAAAAAAACCAAAACAAAAACAAAACACCACAAAAACCACAACTCAACCAACACCTTATAAGGTAATTGATTGCTTTCTTTCTCGTCTTTTATTAGTTGTGATTAAGGAGATATAGTAGCCCTGTTTACACAGCTCTAACAAGTCAGGACCTGCAGTACGTTATTGGCTCACGGCCCCCAACTTGCAGTCCATTCTCAACAGAATCAATCTGAAGTTGAAAACATCCCCCGTAGGAAACGTACACATCCCTGCATACACAGGAACAGAAAACAGTTAATAACTTCAGGTCCTGTAAGTTGCAAGTTCAACTTCCAGCGATCAGCCCTGACTTGTCATTGCTCTCAGCATGTTCGTGATGAGATCAGAGTGCTTCGCAGAGGACTCATACTTTCAACTTGACAAGGGACATAGGTGAGCATGTTACACTTAACTGTTTCTCGCAGCTCAGGCTGCAGAAATAAATGGAGAGCTCCTCCCTGTTTAACATGCAGCCAAAGCACTGCCAATCTAAAAATGGCTGATCAGTAATACTTTAATTGTAGTTTCATAGAAACAAATTGCTATTTAATTGCAATAAGCTCTTCTGTGGCTTAGCTGGACTGACAATAGACGTACACACCTGGTACTGAAAGTAACAAGCAGCAACATCGGGTATCTGGTACTTCATGTACAGGAAGCTCAGGCAGTGAAATCAGACCTGGAACACATAATTTCACACTGAAGAAATACCTAAAATAAAACCCAACCCCAAACACATAAGATCTTCTGATCTCAGTTGTATTTGTTGCTGTAACAGCTGTTCAGAATGTAGGTATTTGCAAAAAGCCTCACACCTGACATACAACTACCAGCCAAAGTACCTGACAGTACTTGATAGCAAGTCAGTATGTGTGTATTTTTTTTATTTACCCTAAAATTAGATGATGCACATTTTATCAGTGTTAAACTAACAGGGAAAAGGGAAGACAAACTCAGCGTGGTCATATTCTAAAGATGTGACTTAATTTCATAGGCTTCATTTTAGCAAGACATTCTCATTTTTTATTTCATAACATACCACATAACCTGTTAAAATATTTAAAGATAAATCATGTAGGACTGAAAAGACAGTATCTTGTTGCAAGCAGAATTTGGTTTGGAAAGGCCCACTGCCTGCGAGGACGCGTAAATCTCATAACTAGACAGCTGGATAGGTAAAAACATTAAACCCATTTAGAGGGCAATCTTTTTACGAAATTGTTTCATTAATAAGAGTGACAATTTATATGATTGAGATGTTGAGATGCAGTATAGAAAGAGCATTTTATCCAGGTTCATGAGGATGATTTCAGATTAGTAATACTTCCTTTGATTTTTTTTAACAGCATTAATTTTTGAAAGTGAGGGAAGCTCTTACTGAGTGATTACTTGTAGGACTTTTCACATGCACTAAATGCAGAGAGGGTATTTCAGCTTCAGTGTAGCAAATGCATGTGATAAAAAGCTTATAGATCTCCTAAAAAAAAGCGATTTTTCACATAAGGACAAAGTTAAGTGTTTCCAGTAGTCTTCTGTCCACACCTGCTGTCCCCATTAGAGCCTGTTTTATTGTCTGAAATGCCTCTGGTTTCGAGGAAGTGTTTTACCTAAAGCAAGAATACTACTTAAATATGTTCTATTGTATATTCATAACACCATTAGGCCTCTTCCAATTTAGCACATCAAAGCAAAGGCTTCATCACTTGCATGTGGATTATGCTAACATGAGTGACATTTGTAATCTTATAGGTCTGCAACTTAAGAAATGCTTTTAAAGTAAGCTATTAAATAGGTAGCTGTGCTTTACAAACGAGTCATATAATAGTTTATTTAAAGCCGTTAATGAACTTCAACCCCTACATCACTAAATGCTATACTACATTACTTAGGAAAAGTTATTAGCTATCTTCTTAGCACTTCTAGGTTACATTGGACAACCAAAAATCTGTACATGTTAGATTTAAACACTGTACCTTGAGTGCTTATACCGAAAGAGTATAAAAAGATGTCTACAGTCTCCTAATACTTGAATTCCGTATTCATGACTTCAAGCGTCTTTTCAAAGATATTGAAGCAGCACAATTTGCAGGACTCTACCTAAAGATATTAATGCCAGATCAAAAAACTTAGAAAATTATTTTTTAAATATGTAAATGCATTTAATTGAGTCATACCTAGCTTCAGTTGTTTTATTGCTTATGTCATTTTATATGTTATGCAAGCATTCTATTGTCTTCACTGTCTCATACTGTACATTACAACATTTTATTTTCTCTGCGACAGTCCTATTTTTCCTCAAGCACTGAAGTGTTAAAAGAAGAAATTCAGCAGACCTCCAATATACTACAGGTCAAGAAGTAGAGCCTGAAAAAAAAGAATCTGCTTTTGGTTGTTTAGACAGACAAATCTACAAGTCAGCTTTTTCTGTATTGGCATCACAACAAAAATAAGGCAAGCTCATTCTGTAACCAAGCACACTGAACACCTTCTCAAAAACAGAATTAAAAAAGAAAACATAATCATGATGCATTTCAAATGTATTAGTCTCCTATGAAAGCAGAAGAGTTAACATTGACTTGTTTTTTAATTGGAGCAGAGCCACATTCTAGATGCTTGCAGTTTCTTCACTGAAGGCATCCACTGCACAGCCACAGCTTCGTGTTAGTATTCTCACTACAAACATGAAAAGTCTGTTTTTCTTTTTCTCTGAATTATTCTGCACCACTCTACTATCAAGCAGCTGATGGAGAAAAAAAACAAAAACAAAACACTAAATGAAGCTAGTTCCTTTCTAAGCCTAGAGAAGGCTTCACGACTTTGGGCGAGTGTTTTTTGTTTGCTTTCAGAGAACAGATCATATTTGTGATCAGTCAGTTCTCAGAAATAGCCTGGGAAACATGTTTGTCTTTCCTTAAGATTATCAGTGCTGAAAAGTTAGTCTCTTACCACAGCAAACACAACTTTATGTTGTTCTGATCAGAATAGCTATTATATTCCTTCTTATGAATACTCAATGCTAGTGCTCAGCATGAGGTATGGACCTTTTGTTACTTTTAATTTTATTATTCTTTGACCTCTTACGGTATACACATGCACTCCCATGCTTGCACGCTCAGACACATGCACATCCTTAACACAAATGATTGTGTGGAAAGAAACTGGATGGAAAGAGACAAGGATACCTGCACGTGTACATCATTCACTGCAACATGAATTGTAATATACTTGCTGTTACCAGAATTAAGAATCTCAATGAAAAATAATTTTGCAGTAGTGCTCTGTATCCTTGGCAAAAGTAACATGGTTAAATTTAACAAAAGCCCATACAAATGAAAAGCTACTTTTAAAGTAATTGACAATTAAGGTAATGACTACATAAGATATAGTTTCAGAATAACATTTTGAATGCAATTTGTTTTTTTTTTAAAAAAAAAGCTTTTAAAACCCATACTCAGTTCAGTGTTGTTTGTTTTACTTTTTTATTATTTAAATACACCATACTAGAGCAAATGTCTCTGAAAATATCACAAATAAAAGATTTTTCTTCATTCAGCAAATTAGAAGTAGGTGAAAATTTCTACACAGTAGCTGCTATGAGCCTGACTTTTTTTTTTGCCATGGGAAGTAGCAACATTAGGACAAAAACACTTACATGCATACATACATTGTATTTTACAGAGATACAATAAAAGTGTTTGTGATAGAATATCACAAAAGCCACATCTTTATCTCATGTTCAGTTTGATTGAAACACATTTCCTTACAACACTTAAATATACAAAGAGCAAATAGAATGTTGTTAAGGTAAAACACAGGGTACAAACTGGCCAGTGCCCTGCTAATTGTTAATGAGGGTAGAAAGCAGATTTCAATGCTTCTTTTAATTAGCTTCATTAGTCATCTTCCCCACCCACCCTCCCCTCCCCCCTAAGATGTCCTCCGGTGGATCTTTTTTCATTTTCTCTACAGTCTCCCATTAGCCCAGGTTCATGGAGTCCTTAATGTTCATATTCAGTCATTTTAATACACCAATAAATGTGGGAAGGGCAATCAAGAATAAAGAAGGTGCAATGGTATGGAGCTGGCATTGATGCTAGCTACAAAGGTGACTTGTCTACTTGGAGACATGGGATCCATCTGTGATGAACAAAATTTGAGATGAAGGCACGCATTCTGCATTACTTTGACCTTTTAGCAGACCTGTAAGAAATAAAAATGGGTATCTTAGCTAGAATACTAAATTTGAGATAGGAAACTACAACATGACTGCTTTTGTCTTTTCTTTATTCACTAATCTCTTTTTCATTAGATTACTTCCCAACTGTGACTTGATTAAGGCTCTCTACACTATCCATTCATACTGCTAATGTTTCAACTTCAAATAGCAAAAAGCAAACATTTTCCGCAGTTTCACCAATAAAAAGAGCAGACTGGAAAAAAGAAAAACACAATAAAACCCCAAAACCAAAAGAAGAGATGGCAACAATAAACAAGTGTACTATCTGGTAACAAATCGTGCAGTGAATAAGGTAGCTTTTCTGGCCCCCTTCTAAAAGGGAAGAAACATTATGCCATGCCTTTGAAGAAGCTAGCAATACGATCTTATAATTGGAAGAAACAGTGTGTAACGCAAATAAGAAATACAGCCAATATCCTCCCAAGGCAACTTTGGTTAATATGCTGCATTGCACAACAGCTAAATATAGATATTTCAGGATTTCCACCCCCCGCATTTAAAATTCCTCATCTGGTGTGTTACTTAATGTTACATAAACATTTTAATATACGAAGTCAAACATGTGCTTTCACACTGGTGTTAATGAATTGTGATAATTAAAAGTGTTTAATTCAATAAAAATCTAAACTTTCGTGGATAAAATAGATATGATCATCCATAGTCTTCAAATACAATCTGTTTGCAATTACCAAAATGAAATAATATATATTAGATCTTTATGGTTTTTAAATGACATTTTGCGCTTCCCAGTAAGTTCTTTTTTCACCCTTTCTCTAAGTTACTAAAAGCCTGAGGTCTATTAGTAACTGCAAGCCCCCACTTTCAAGCTAATTAAAGTAGTAGAGGCTTGGAGGTTTAATTCCCCAGAGCTGAAGCTCAGTATGAGAAAGGTAATTTGTCTGTCCAGAACAAAGATTAGGGAGCAGCCAGCAAGCATATTTAATAAATGAGCATCAAATAACTTCTACTATGGACACAGACAACACCAATTATGTAACTACAAGGGAACTGTTGAGTGATATGTAAACTAGAAGATTTTTAAGATCTTTTCTGAGAGGTGTAATCTAACTCATACTTTATTTAAAAGCATAGAAGCTGAAGACAAGCGTTTTCTACAAATATTGCCAACTGCTGGAAAATTTACACTTTTAGTAGGTAGTAATACTGCTGCAAACAAGAAGCACTACAGGTATACTATCACTACCAAAAAAACATAGAGAATTCTTGACAATACAGTCCCTTCAAATGAAATGGCACACAGGACATCACAAACTAAGTTTGCAGGCAAGCAGTACCAAGTTTAGAAATAAAAACGGTTTGTTTCTTTTTCAGACTACATAGCAAGCGATGCGAAGTTGAGTTTACATGTGTGAATTGCCTCAGGGAGGCAAAAGGCAGAATAGTCAATGTCACTCCATTTGCCTTCTTAAAAAGAAAAGTTTTTAAACAAAGTTAGCTCACACAACCCTTTCTGCCTGCACCAACCACCAACAGATACTAACCTGTAAACTACATTAAAACAATAGTGAGTTCATAAACACCACCTTCACATACGCAACAAAAATGTGGTTTAATACTGGGAGCATGTCTTGATCTTTTCAGTTTAATAAAAAAACCACTGTGAATATTCTGCCATATCTATAATCTCTAGTGGCAGAATAATCTGGAGACTGATTGATCTTTAATATTTAGTAAAAAGTATCTGTTATAGCAAACTCTGTCACAGTGGAAGAACATTCTCAATTAGTGACCCTAAACCACAGCTTTCTGGAAAATGTGCGATGTGAGTGTATTTAGACTGTTAAAAGGCCAACACACAAAACACGTCTCTTTTGGTGCCCGTCCCTGTAGCTTCCAAAACTCCAGGAACTTGACAAATCCATGAACAATCAACTTGTCTCCTCAACTACATTTTAGTTTTCTGGGCTTTGGGTGCTCTGTAATTCCCCATTGAAAGCTAGTAGGAGAACTTACATAATTTTCTAGAGATTGTATTATTACAAAAAAAAAAAAACCAAACAGAAACAATATCAAAAAACCACAACATCCAAACTATAATTTCTCCCCTTGATCTTTTCCCTAATACCTCTTCATCTGCCTTGTCACTGACTGTGGCACTGCGGTTAATAGTTGGTGACAGGAACTAATAAAATCCTGGTCTTGCTATTTTCTCTGCACTGAGCTCCTACCAGGTGTCTACAGTCGGGAGCTCTGCAAGCCCAGTCCAATTTCACTTCTCTTTTCCGTGTTCTGTGTTCCTCACGTCTACTGTTTTTATTGCAACTAAATCATTTTTATGTTTTGCTAAGGCATAGTAAGAAACTGATAAAACTAAATGACAATTTAGACACCTATTTGAAGTTACATTAAACTTTACATTTGCAGAAGACAAGTGGATAAACCACTCCCTCAGAATGGCAAACCTTTTACTGCAGCATATAAAGATAAATGGTTTTACCTATATTTTGAAATGGGATACCTACAAATACTCATTTAACAGATTCACTGTCAGCTAGTCCATATTACGGATTTGTTTCATTAAAATTCACAACAGTGTAAATCTATGAATCTTTAACTGTATTTGTACTTCCTTGAGAAGAGCCTGCACATTCTCCTCCAATCTTAATTATCTTTGTTCTGCCTAACGATATGGGACTCCTGTACTCGACTCTCTCATCACCTCGATTGACAAATTAAGTAAATAAGAAAGGTCCATGTTTTATTTTGATGTAATTACACTCACTGTATAAGACTTGAAAGAATACTTAAAATTAATCGGTAAGTTTATGCACAGAATAAAAAAGCAAACACAGATATTGAAATGTAGCAACACAACAAAAAAAAAATCATGAAAATTAAAAACCAGTTTGTGTTTTCTTGGGCATACTTCTCTGCTAACTAAAAGCACTAAAACATGTTCTGTTCACTACAGAATAGATCAGCCTAGCATTCATCCCAGATTTTTTTAATCTTCCAAATTCCTATTTGCAGATAAATGTTATTTCTTGTGATCCTTACAGACATTAATGAAGTTCCTATTGTAAATCTATAAAGAATTACCAACTGAAGTGTGCACTTTTTGTTTCATTGCAATAACTCAGTGCTGTGTGATTGCCTGGGTTAATGATGAAAAAGTCAAATATACTATCAGAGCTGATGGAAAAATCTATCACCAATCTGAAATTAAAATTCATCTGTGGTCAATAAGATTTAATATCCATGCAAGTGGCGCTGTAAAGAGTAAATGAATCAATGTCATCAATACATAATCAGTATGAAATATGATGTGAATAAAATTATGTGCAAGAGTCATACATTCACTCTTTTCTGGACCAGGGTGGAATGAACAGTCTCTTAACTCAAGGTTGACAGTAATTGTTACAAATTAGGCACAGCAGTTATCAAAATGCATTCACTTCCATAGCTTTAGGACTTATTAAGGAGATTAAAATAGATCTAAAACTATCTAGTTTCAGAGTTACAGGACAACTGTTGATCAATTTTTTTTTCTTCTCTATATGATTTGTACAGTCATTATTTACTCATTTAGCTCGAAACCAAGAGACATCAGCCACAGAGATATATAATCTCTAGTTGAGCTATTAGTGTTATGGAGCGATAAGAGAAGAACACTTTGGGTTTTAAATCTGAGTTATGACATACAAACAGACAAGAAAATACTTCTTAAAGAGTACCCCAGCATGCTTCCTCAACTAAAACCTTAATATTAAAGTGAAATACATCAGTTTAGTTCAGGAACCTTCTCTTCACAAGACATTTATTTCCATATTAAGATCTAATTTTCCTCCCACAGAAACCTTCTCTCTTGTAGCCCTTAATTTCAAGGTTATAAAATAAAATACTTCTCTTTCTCAAGAGTTTATATTAACATGTGCTCTCCATTTCACTTTGTAAATAAAGAGTTCAACAGCTGTACAGATGCACATGCCCAAACCAAAATAAACTGGCTCACCCTATATGTGATATTTTAAAAAATTAGTATTTTCTCCCCATACCCCATACCTAAGTTATTTAAGGTAAGTTCAGTTACTTAAAGGTCTCCTTGCAGGGGTGGGAAATGTCCACTATTAGAATGAAAATAAATTGATCTTCATTTAGCTCTAATAAAGCTTATTAGTAATTGCTGAGTATTCACCTTCTGGTCTGGCAGTAGTGGATTACTCTGAAGTGAATTCAAATGGCCATTGATGAGAGCTGTAGGTCTATCATGTTCACAAAATAAACTGCCATTGATGTAGTGAAACCGATCTCCAGGGACCAGGCGATTCCGGCAGGTAGAGCATGTAAAACACTGCAAAAGGAGAGATACAGCAAGTGAAACTACAGCACAAATTAAGTATGCTGCAGTTTGAAAATTACACTTCAGAGACTGCAAGTACAGTTGAGATACAGAGCTGCTCGGTTTCTAGTATCTCCAAATATGGCATTAGTCTTACCTGTTGGGACTACACAGTACATAACTCAAGTATAGTTTTACCGATTACGAGGTAACAAAGCTACACACTAAGGGAAGCTTTACAATATATACCCGTATTTCTAGTTATTGCTTTGCATTTCATTCATAAGCAGATGCAGATTTTATACTAAAGAAGCACAGCAGTACTAATCAGCTACTGAAAAAAGAAATAATAGAAAAAAAAACACCCCTCACCTTAAGATGATAGACGTTGCCCTGTGCCCTCATGACCAGCTCACTAGCATGAATGGACTGTCCACAGGCACTGCAAGCACCACTATTTCCAAATAACCTGAAAGAGAGGTGATGATCATGAATAATTTAATACACAAGAGGCTTTAAGCATTTTTGCACATCACTGCAATGGTTTATTACACAACTATTTTAGACTTCTGACTCCCATCTTCCAACTTGCTTACGTGTCATAATACGAAATAGTGTATTTTTGTGTAACAATTGGTAGCTTCACCCTACCTTGGATGTGGTTACACAGGATTTAATCAGAAATATTGACTTACACCTCTAGAAACACAAACAATTCTGTACTACACACATTTTATCAGATTACTGGGTTCATCATAAAAAAAAGATACAATTCATGACTGGAGTTTAAATGCATTGTGTCCTTGAAATTATATGAAGAACTCTTTTGTACTTTAATCATATCTTGAGATATGAGTCATCAAAAGGGTTAAGAGGATTCGATTGTATATCTAAGAAGACATCATGCTCAGTGTATTGAAACTCCAGTAAACCTCCATCAGCGCAGAGTTTCCATTAGAAACTCTCTGCTATCCAGGTTGATATATAATGTGTATGGGTTAACCTTTTCAATCATGGTGTCAACACTTTAGATTTGCCTCTGCTCATCTCTTTCATCCTAACCTTCTCTCTCTCTTGATAATGAAATGCTTGCTCCAACTTCCCTCTATCTGCTCCTGAGTCCACAATTTAGATTACTTCATCTCTGCTAGCAACAAACTGAATGAAATTTCGATTTGAGCAGAAAGTAATTTACCGGGATCTGGACCCATTTGTCATCATATCTCTCTGGGTGTTTGCTGTATCACTGCAGTTTTCCTATGCAATCAAATGAGACCACAACATCTGCCATTGGGGGGGGCACACGCAGTGGGGGGAGCGGGGGGAAATAGGCAGAAGAGTGGTGAAGAAAAATATATACATAATTCTTCAGATCCATTTAAAGGCACAATGCATCGATTCAAAATATAATACAATAATGATTATCGAGTTCTACTTTTACAGGCTGCGTTAGCTAGAATTAGAAAACCTTTATTTGCTTTTGCGTGTCCCTCTAATATACACAAATATTTATAAAGACTACCACAATCATTCTGCAGTAAAAAAGGAAACTGAACTAGCTGGCAGGGTCACAGACCCACTTTTCTGTGCAATGTAAAACATAGTAATAGGATTTACAAATTAGCGTATTGGTGTCATAATAAATATTAATATTTGCATCTCCTTCCTGTTCAAATTAAGTCATAAAATTCTGTTTGTGTCAACCTAGGAGATGCATTACAACAGAATACCCGTAATCTGAATGATTGTAGTGTGCCTCTGTATAAAAATAATTGCTTTGAATTTTCAGAATCTCAGCTTGCAGAGGAGGCTTGTCATGTTCAAACTACTAATTTGCTGTCGCCACTTTATTGAAAATAGCCTGTAAGTTGTTATTAAATGTATCGACTGAACGACAGAGAGAGTAGTAAAACTGCCCCTTAAGATGGCTTTTAATAGGAAGCTGAGAAACAAATTTTGCAGCAGCATCGATTTGAAGAGTTCAATCAAAACTCCATTTCAAAACTAATTAGTCTGAGATCCACGACACATTGACACGTTCTTGCAGAATCACAGCAGTTACAAAGGGAAAGCTGAACTAATACATTGTCAGGACCTCCAGCCAACGGGACTAAACTGTCTGGAAACTAAGGGTCCATTATCAGGGCACCTTCTAAATCAGGATGAGTTCCAAGTAGTTACATGATGTATTGAGGTTACTTCCAAAGCTTTACCATATGCATTTTTCTTCCTCTATTGTTACTAGTAACAACGCTGGCATGAAAAGGTGCACGGGAAGCACTGAGAGAGGAGGCAGTAAGGCACTCTTACATTGCTAGAGCAAAGACCCAAAAATGCAGGGTAAGGGGGTGGCGACGAGGGCATTGCTGGGTAGGGTGGAGGAAGAAAGGCAAAGATGAACTGCAGGCAGCATTACTTGTCTGGAAGGATCCGAACCCGGCAAGCAATGTCTCACAACCCCCTAGACAACTGTACCGCCCAGCCAAAAGCACAGCTTTCGGAATACTGATCTCCCTGCACTACTTGTCTTCATTAAGCATTCATTTGTTATACAATTCGCTCCCACTAGAAGTGGTCTTACACCTTGAATGTCTGTGGATTCTAATAAACAGAGTCAAAGTAATCCAAATGCTTTCTACACATTCTAGGTTCTCCCTAAGCATGTTGCCAGAACAATTCAGTTTTGGGAAGTCACTTCAGCTGAGTCTTCTGCTAAAATTCCTAAAAATTACTTGCAAAGTCAGAACACCTTTCTGCTTCTTGGTATTATTTACCAGGAAAATTAAGCTTATTTTTTTCTTCTCTACTGTTATGAATGGTTTTGTTCTGTAAAGCCATTAACAGGAAAAAAAGGTTTTATCTTTTTAAAAAAATGTTATTCCTCCTTACCAGTAAAGGAAGTCTTCCACAGCAACTATTCTTTACTGAAAAAGTTGTTTCACATGGGTTCCGAGAGGCTGGAGAGCTAATTATCTAACCAGGGGGACCGTCCAGGACAGTATTTGATTTAAAAGGCTTGAGGCTTTAGGTGCTCAATTAAGTAGCTATCGGTCTCAGACTGGACTTTAATGGGCTCTTTTCTCTTTAACTGCAGCAATGGGTAGAGATACCCCAGGTCAGACTAATTAAAGCCAGGGGACTCTTTAATTGTGATGACAGAATTGGTTTCAGTTTCCTCTTTGGGTCCTCAGTCCAAGAAGGTCATTAATATTTCAACATTTGGGCAATGCAATCAATCAAAAACATCAAGAGGGAACCTATACGGACAAAGCAGCTCTTCGACACTTAGCAGCATTTTCCAGAGCCACCTTAAATTAACTGCTCTGTGGTTCCAACACAGCACTCCCTATACCCCCAAACACACAAACCCTCCTGTTTTTTTTCCAGCTTTGACTTTTTTCTTTTTTTTTCTTCCCTCTGAACTTTCATAAAAGTGGGAATGAAGGCTGCAAGAAATCTTTTCAGCCCAGTTTCCTGTCTTGCTACTCAAAATTCAGCATCAGCAGAAATGCGTCTGTAGCAACTTTACTAACAAAATAAGGTTCTAGTTGTTTCCAAAATCGTGGAGACAGGTTTAAGTGTTCCGACTCTTGCGCAAAACAGTGCACACTTGTACCACAAATCCAAGGCCTAGCAAAGAGAAACGCACATCCAGATCTACAGATCCAAACGCGATTGGTGTTTCTGTACCTTCTCTATATTTAATCTAAATTCTGCACCAGCTATATTAAATGTAACAAAGAATGGCAACACAGAAATGACGCCGGGAGCCAAGTCCATTAAAGGTACTTGAGCATAACTAGAGCCCAAGCACCTTAAAAGCACCAGAAGCTATTGATACTTAAAACGGGGGCTGTGCATAATGGCAAGTGCTGCATTAGAGAAGGGGAAGGAAAAAAAAAAAAAAAGCCAAATTACGCTTGGTTAATTCAGAGTAACAGATCTGCCCCCAAGTGAATTGGAGGCCTTGAATTAATTCTGTTATGACAAATCAAGATAAACGTTCCCCCTAAATTGCATGCGATTTAATTAATTTTTGAGATCCTGAGCTTTTTTTTTTCTCCTAGCTAATAGTTCACATGCTCCTGCGCTGTCATTGTGCTTGAGTGGGCAGACTTCAAAGTGATATTAAATAACCAACTATTAGATTTACCTAGCACGTCCTATTGGAAAAGTGCCATTTAATTACCTAGCCTGTTCAATTAAAGGGACAGCATTC